CAGGGCTGGGTGCTTGGGTGCCACCAGCACCCTCTGGGGTCCCTGTCAGAAGGGTGAGGTCTCCTCAAAGAAGACTTTCTGCCACCTGTCATCTTCCTTCCCTGCCATTTCTGTGAGCTCCCAATGCTATGCCCAGAGCAAGATTTGCAGCAAATCTTGGACACCTTGTGAAGAGATAACCAAGGGCCATGCCCTTCTTCCTAGCATCCCTGCTCCCTGTGAAATCTTTTGGAGCCTTAATTGTGCAAGAGCCTCTTTAAGCATTGGCAGGTGCTACTGGTTGTCCCTCTGTGCCTGCTTCTGAGATGGCACAAGGATCTTGCCCTCCCATGAAGCAGTAATACTATTCTGGCAGCAGGCTGAGCATTGGCAGGTTGTTCATGGGGCAAACACCAGGGATCTGGCCCACTCTCAAAGCCTGTGCCAGCTGTGCCTGTCGTCTGATGGGGCACAGGACTGCTCAGGAGACATTCTCTCCACTGATGGGCAGCAGCAACCAAAAAGGAGTTGTACCAGGAGGTAGCATAACCATGTCCTACCTAAAGGTTGGCATGCCCTACACCTATGAGCCTACAGCTGTGCCTCCTCTGAGGTGGCCACCCAATGGGTCATCCTCTCCCAGTGGAGATGGAGGCACTGGCTGGATCCAACCCCACGATCTGCCCAGAGGAGCTTACCCCTGCTCAGCAGTAAGAAGGAAGGGTTTGGGCTTTGGACAAGCCAAATCCCCAGGGCATTGGGATGGCAGGGAGGAGAAGACAAGAGGACAGTCCTGCCACCACCCTGAGGACAGATTCCATATCTTGGCTGCTTCCAGCCCTGCTCTCCCATCACCAGCGCTGCTCCATTCCCAGGCTTCCCAGAAGCTCACACTGCCCTTGTGCTGCCCAGGAGCATCTCCTGCTCCTTGTTTGCTGATGTCCAGGTGCTAACTGACCATCTGAGAGCAATAAGTGCTATGGAGGGGTATATGGTCCCTGTTTGGGTTCGGGAAGTGGATCTCAGCCCTTCCCAGCAATGAATTGGGGATACTTGGTTGTGCAATTGGTAGCATAAAGAAAGGAAGTGGCCTTGACACATACCCAACAAAACAGAAATCAACCATCTGGTGAGGAATTTTGAGCCCCCCCCCGGTGGAAAGAGATGACGGATAGACAAGAAAAATGTTGAGAGACAGAGCAGTGGCTGCAGTACCAGAAAGTCCTCCATGGATCAATGTAGTTACAACAAGGCTCTACATGCCTTGGCCTAAGAAACACATTGGCACAGGACTCTGCTGCCCTAAATCTTGTGTTTGGAAGTAGATACTGATGGGAATTCGTTTTCTTTTGAGCTTGCATTCTCTCCCCAGCTCCATGCCTGACTCACTAGAGGAGCAGGTTTACATCCCATCACCTTCCTGGGCTGTGCTTTTGCCCAACTGTGAATGGAGGTTAAAGACCCTGACCTTCCAGATGGGGAAAGCCACTTGGCAAGATCTCTGCATTTTTGGCAAGAGACAAAAATCTGTCTTTTTATGAGTCCCAAGAGCTTGGCAAACAAACCCTGCCCCACCTTCTGCCTGTGCTGGGGTGTTGCAAGCATCTGGCTCTCAAAGCAGGGTGAGACTCCTGCGCTCCCTCCCTGGGAATGACAGGTTTCTACACACTGGAGCCCCTTTGTTCCCAAGGGTTTTTCCATAGCCTCCCTTGTGTATCTCTGCAACATTACACTCAGATACAAGGTAACACCCAGAAGCAATGCCCCCAGGAACGTGCTGCAACAGCTCTGCACCTAGCCAGCACCTCCCTTTCCCCGGGGACTGGAGGACAGGATTCCCCCAGTGGGCATTGTAGATGTGCTGTTCCCCCAGCCCAGGCAGGGCTTTTTCTGAGAAGAGTCTCCCTGGGGCGTAAGATCTCCACTCTCCTCCATCACTGTGGTCACTAACACTTACCTGGCATGCTGCACTTTTCATCCCATTGGTCCCTAGCCTGCTCAGAGGTAGGATGCTGCAAGGGCCCTCTGCACAGGGAGGGGATATTCCATGCTGGGGCTGTACTGCTTGGGGAAATTGAGGCAGTGACTTCGGGATCAGCTGCAGCACAGTGAACCCAGGAGTCTCAAGAGCAGGCCAAGCACTGTACCTGCTGCCTCCTTGGTTAAAGGGGAGAAGCTCCCTCCCAGGGAATTGCAAACCCTGACACAGCTGCAGCAAATCTTTGGCTCCTGCTTCCTTCGCCCGAGCTTTTCCCATTCCTCATAACAC